GCATGTTCCGAGGAACAATTCTTCTCCAGTGTCGAAAACGGCATGGTGAGATTCGTGCCTTCTTGTCTCGGTCAGACCAATGATGTCGTGCTTGATCATTCGCGCTTGTACCATCAGGTCCTCGACGGATGCATCTGATGCTAGCGTACGTGCATTGAAAGTACAGACGATCATTTTTGTCTTCCTTCGTTGTGGCAGCCTAGTTCGGCCTTGAGATTTTGTCGGCCTCTCCTTTCTCATCCTTCTCAGTGCTGCCATGTCGGTGAAGCCTTCAGGGTCAGGTGAATGAGACCAGTTGGAGTTACTGGTTTTGGCATATCGAATACACAATGGATAGCTTGCCAGGCTCTTCCGTGTGGGTGGAATACTCTCGGTAGCTTGCCAGTCTTTCCGAGAGGGATAGAGGCTTTTGGGGCGACCTCTAATCAGCCTTGTAGGTGTTACCATATTTGAACCCTATCAAATATGGTATGACAATTCCTGAAGATGGGTATTTAGTGTCTTATGATGTGTCGCGTGGCCACTTTGCGGCTGCGCAGGTCCGGACAACGTCCTAAAGTGTGGCGACGGCTGGGTAGTGGAGGTAGTGTCCTGGAGTCTCCCGGTGGACGATTCCACAACGAAATAGACCACATCATATTCAATCGACGGTTTTGCCTGACCAATGTCGCTGTTGTCCCAAAATTTCAAAAGGGATCGGACCACCATCTCCTTCGTGCAAAATTCTACTTCACAGAGCGGGGAAAAAGGGCTGCAAAGTTCAAAAAGAGAACTCCCAGAACAACCACCAACTGGGAACTCTTTGGCACTATTGCGGCAACATGGGAAGATGCCATTGTTGACAACATTGACGAGGAATACGATCGACTGGTTCAGCACCTCCGTGAATGTGCGAGGAATGCCAAGAGAGAGATAGCCACAAAAAAACGCCTGTTTTCGAAAACTCTTGAGCTAATTCACCAGCGTGGCTTGGCGCATGCCTCAGGCAACCGCAAGCTAATGTCTGAGCTCGCAAAGCAGTGCAGAGATGCGATCAAGGAAGACCTCAAAGAGAGAAGAGCAGAAGTACTGGTAGATGCGGCAGAAGCCGGGAAAAGTATTCGTTACGCCCGCCTGTCTTTCGCCAACTACAAGACCAAGATGACTGCCCCCCGACGTCCTGATGGATCCATCACATCCTCCAGAATGGCAATGGAGAAGATTATCCATGATTTCCACTCAGATCTCTTCGATAGCCATGTCCACTTGCCAACATACCAAATTCCACAGGGTGGATACGTCATTCCCAACATTCTCCCTTCCGAAATCCGACACTCCATTTCGTCCTAAAGAAACAAACAGCACCGGCCCAGACAAGGTCATACCTGAACACCTGAAGAACCTGCCGTCAGTACTCATCAATACACTGGCTCGGCTCTTCACTCGCTACCTGTCTGAATGCAAGGTTCCGTCCCAATGGAAAACCAGCAGGACCATACTACTGTTCAAGAAGGGAGACATCCATGACATTGGCAACTATCGCCCGATCTGCCTATTGTCTGTCATCTACAAGTTGTTCACTCGAGTCATCCTAAATAGGATTGGCAGAACACTAGATGAAGGACAACCAAGCGAACAAGCCAGGTTCTGCAAAGGATTCAGCACCATCGACCATATCCACACGATAACCAAGCTCATTGAGGTTTCTCGGGAGTTCAAGATGCCGCACTGTTTAACGTTCATTGATTTAAAGAAGGCCTTTGAGTTTGTTGAGACAGAAGCGGTCATTAAAGCCCTAGCCAATCAGGGCATTCAAGTCCAATACATCAAGATCCTCCATGAGCTGTATTGCGGATTCACTACCAGGATCTCACCATTCTACAAAGAAGTGATCGTTGATGTCAGGAGAGCGGTTCGACAGCGTGATACCATTTCACTGAAACTCTTCAGTGCCACCCTCGAGAACATCATGCGACGACTGGAGTGGGCAGGAATGGGAGTGAAGATAGATGGTCAGCAATTATTACACCACCTCCGCTTTGCTGATGACATTGTTTTAATAACACCAAACATCAGCCAAGTGGCACAAATGCTGGCCGACTTTGACCGTGAGTGTGGAAAGGTAGGACTACAGCTGAATCTTACGAAGACAATGTTTATGAGAAACAGCCTCGTTCCTGATGCCCCATTCGCTCTCAACGGAACGACCATCTCCAAATGCAACAGCTATGTGTACCTAGGTCGAGAAGTCAACATCACAAATGACCTGGCACCCGAGCTGCGCAGGAGGAAGAGAGCGGCTTGAAACGCCTTCAAGAACGTCGAAGAAATAGCTAAGAGGACGAAGAACCTCCGGCTCCAGGCACATCTCTTTGATTCCACTGTTCTTCCTGCATTAACATATGCCTCAGAGACCTGGGCCCTACGCAAACAGGATGAGAATGCTATTCAGGTCTCCCAAAGAAGAATAGAAAGAGCTATGCTTGGAATATCACGTTTCACTCAAATGAGAGAAAAAATCCAGAGTTCCGACATCCGTCGATGATCAAGAATCAGGGACGCTGTCTCACTTGCCAAGGTGTCAAAAATCAGATGGGCTGGTCACGTAATGAGATTTAAAGACGACCGCTGGGCTAGAGCTGTTACTGACTAGATTCCACGGGATGTCAAAAGACCAAGTGGCCGCCCACCTACCAGATGGTCAGACTTCTTCGTGAAGATCATGAACGATCGGTTTGAGGCTCTTCATGATCCCAGAGCGAACAGATGCCATTGGGCTACACTAGCACGCGACAGGGACAAATGGAGACGTTACTGGTGCCCGCTCGAGCAAATCGACGACTAACGGGAAGTTAAGTGATTAAGTGATTAAACTCTATATGTGAAGCCCCTTTTGCCATGTAATGCGACATGTTCACAGGTTCTAGAGATTAAAGTGTGGATACAGTTGAGGGACACTCTTTCTCAGGTACTCCATTTGTGCTTCAACAACTCTCCTCCTCTTCTGCCCTCCTAAGAATTCATCACATACTAATTATTTATCACTCAACTGGATCTTTTCCATTAGCATACTGTTGGGGTCAGGTCAGAAAAAATCACATATATATATATATATATAGTGTTCTTCATAGACTAGACAAATATTCAACTAAATTGGTAAATCACGATCACGATGACAATCACGACCATCCTATTGTTCGTCAATTGCCTCGAGCAGGCCCCAGCAACATCTCTTTCGTCCTAGCCCTGAGACTTTTTTAAAAGTTCCATATTCAAGGCTCTTTCAGGGTTAGGAAAATGAGACCCATCATTGTTACTGGCATATTGGGGTACACCACGGGGAGTCTGCTGTGTGTGCGAGAGATCCACCTGGGAGAGACTCAATAAAAATTGATTATTTCACTCACAAGACTTCCAGAATTTAATATTCCTTAAAACATACATACACACAAACAATCACACACCCACAATTCTGCATCTTCTTTCATTTCATGGTATCTATTGCCAACTGACAATATGTTCATTTTTTTTGTTGTGTTCCCTTTCTTTAGACGTAAACTACATGTGAAACAGTTTTATTCACCGTGTCTTCAACATCACAGACCAACCCAAACATCTACAGCTTTATTGGATCTTAAATATAGAATCTTCTTTCTTTAAAATAAATTAAATATTTTGGGGCTCGAGTGATAGCACAGTGGGTAGGGCATTTGCCTTGCATGTGGCTGACTCGGGTTCAATTCCCGGCATCCCATATGGTACCCAGAGCACCAATAGGAGTAATTCCTGAGTGCATGAGCCAGGAGTAACCCCTGTGCAATGCCGAGTGTGACTCAAAAGCAAAATGATAATAATAATAATAATAATAATAAATTAATATTTGGAAAATGTCAGCCTTTTGTGACTGATGTGCCTACCCCTAGACCATTTTTCTGCCTTTAAAGCAATGAAGGAATATGACTGGCCAGCCTGAGTCACAGGTTCTTAGTAATTTTGTTGAAGGTATTGAGGACTGGGGGGAAAGGAATTTATAGAGGGAAAGGAGGTTTCCAAAAAGGGGAAAAAAAAAATCTGTTTGCAGAATGGGGTTGAGAGAGATTAAAGACATGGGGGAGGCAGAAAAAAAAAAAACCAGATGGTTCTGACTAAGATTTTCCAGAGTGGAAAGAGAAATATATGGTGAAGTTGGGACTCCTTGTAGAGAAAGTATCCCTAAAAAGCTGTACCTTCACACACTTTGGGCAAGGGCATGCTGAGCCCCCAGGAGGGCTGAGGATGGTATTCTTTGCATTTGCATTTTGAATGACTCCCTGTGGGGAGTTGCAGAAGAAATCCCCTTAGCATGAATAACCCTGACTGACACCACCGGTAAACAGAAGGAAAGTTGAGGAGTAGAGATCAGCTGCACACACAGGATTTGTGGGGTGGGTGAGGGGCTGTATTTGGGCGTGTGCATGTGTGTTTGTGTGCGTTTGTGTACGTTTGTGTGCGCTCCCGCGCGCACGCGCGTGCTAGCCCAGCGCACATAATGTTGCTTCCCAGCTCATTTGTGCAATCAGCTAAAAGATTAACTCATTTTTAGGTAAGAGTAAAAATGAGTTTGCTTGAAAATCAGCAACAGCTGTGAGGTAGGCATATGTACAGACGCTCTCAAGGGAAGAGAGGTGGGGGGACATAAAAATCTTGCTGTTTTTATGTAGCCTAGGGATTTAGGGGTCGCTTTTGTTTGTTTTCATTTGGGGGATCTACCGAACTACACTGTCTTTTACATTAAAACGTTTTTATTGCTGAATCTAGAAACATTTCTTGGGTTGTCCTGCGAGAGGGGTGCCCAGGCTAACCGCAGGCACACACACACACATTCTTCCCATAGTACAGTTCTTTAAAATTAATAGCACATGCAGAGGAAAAACTAAACCCTTTGACGTCACTCTTGAAATGAGGAAACATAAACAGAAAAAATGCTCCACTCCAGTAAGCTGCCAGAGTTGAAGCCGATTGGTCTCTGCTTTTCCTTGCCTGTGGCAACTGACAGCACCTCCCAGCCTTGCGGGCCGGCTGCCTACTCCCCGCAGCCAGTCGGTGGGTCTGGGCACTGCAGCACGCTGGGCTCCGTCCCAGCACTTGTCTGGGAGAAAGTGGTATACTCACCCAGAGAGATTCTCTTTCTAACCTCCCTTTTCTTTTTCGATCTCTCTGTGTGCTTTTGTGTTTCTTTTGGTGTGTGTGTGTGTTGTTGTTTTTTAAATTTTTCTTATTTTTCCCCCTTTCTTTTCCTTTTCTTTCCTTTTCTTTTTTATTTTTTCCACTTAAATATATCCCTAATCCTGGATGAAGTTGCTGGATTCTGCAGCACAAGTCTTCATGAACAAGCAGCACCGCTTAGAGATTTCCCGGCATTCAAAGGTCACAGAACTGCCACTATGGTTAAATGTCTTGTTTAATGGTTGAGGTGAGTAGAACCCATTTCAGAGCAAGTTGATTTTTTTTTTCTTGAGAGAACTGAATCACAGAGACATTGCAAAAAATTTATTTTAAATGAACATATATATACGTATAGATACTTAATATTTTATATGTATATGTAACTATATATATGGGGGGAATCTGATTGTTACTACAGCAACCAGCTTTTGAATTTCCTTCCTTTTTTCTCATCGAAATAACTAAACATATCACTTAGCCTGAATTTTAACCATTTGAGGGCAACAGGGTTTTGTACCAAATCCTAAACAGCCTGAGGGACTCTGAACATTCTCATTACACTGAGGCTCCTGTAAGGAGAGAGTGAATGAGAGGGAGGGAGAGAGAGAGAGAGAGAGAGAGAGAGAGAGAGAGAGAGAGAGAGAGAGAGAGAGAGAGAGAGAGAGAGAGAGAGAGAGAGAAGAGAGAGAGAGAGAGAGAGAGAGAGAGAGAGAGAGAGAGAGGTTGTGGTTATTCTTAATGGACACAATATTTCTTCCCCAGAATCATAGAGTTGAGTTATTTTTATTTCTGGTGACAGGATAGGAAAATATTGATTAAAAAATTAGTAAGGGATGCAGGCTAGGAGAACATGAGAATCATCTTTTTCCCAAGAGTTTGTCAGGTTTCTTGAGAGCAAGCTTCAGGATGAAATTAGTTGAGAGAAAATAAGTATTGTTAATGAGATTGAAGGTAGCAAATCCTCAATAGGAGGAAGGTGTGGCAGACATGAAAATTCTTTAGGAAAATGCACTTTAGCTCTTTCTTGATTTTTTTTTTCACGAAAGTCTTGCTTTAGATGTCACCCAGGTGAGGTAAGCATCAAGTTTCTTGACCAATGATTTAGGTATTATTATTGAGTAAGGATAATTAAAAAACTTCTTTATTGGCACTGCAAATTTACTAATTATCTTTCCCTACAATAGCTGAATGCCAGTGAGCTATTTAATTAGAGACTTAAGTGATTAAGCCTGGGGATTAATTAACCATCCAGAGGTTCTTTCTGTTCTTCAAAATTCTGCTCTTTAGAGTGAACATCTTTGTACCAGAAGGTGAATATATGCATTCATGTAGAGTAAACACACTAAATGCTTTAGTCAGAGAATAATTTAAACACAAAGCTAATGTTGTTTCAATAATCTGGTATTATTATGTATACAGGGAGACCCCATTAAAAAAATTCATGCCTATCTAAGGAATCAAATTTGTGAAACAAATTAAGTAATCTATGGCTCAGTTGGATTTCCTTATGACCCTTCTAAAGTTACACAATATAGCAAGTAAGGCAGGATTATTTCCAACTATTACTGTGTTTGAGTTTTCCTTACTTGATTTTTCTGAAGGTTTCTACTCTTAACATTGAGAACAATTTTTTTAATACTCAGCCATGTAAATGGTGGTATTAGTAGTGTAACAAGTATACCGTGTACTTCAAAGGGTTAACAAAATTAACTGCTTAAGAATGTAATGTACCAAGTTAGGAAACTGCAAAAATATTAGCTCCGAAATACAGAGGATGTGCTGTGAATGGACAATTGCTTTTCTGCAGCGTCTAGTGGGAAAACAAGGACTTTGTGTGTTTCAAATGCCTAACTGCAGCTCCTCCATTTCCTCTGCTTTATCTTTTATTACTGGCTGGTGAAACAAAGACGGGTGTCAGTAGTTACTTCTTGATTGACATTTTCTTTAATAAAATGAAGTAGCTTTTTGTTTCAAGTGGAACCTCAAAGTTAACTAGTTGTAACTCTAAAACCTATATTCTCTGTATGAGAGATGTTTTACCTGCCACTGTAAATTGTCCAATTTCAGAGTGTACTGACTCAGTTGAACAACATGAAACAAAAATCAGTGTGCTGACTATAAGTCAGTGAATTAGTTGGGAGAAACTTGTTTTTGAATCAGATTACTTAGGGCAAGGATGGAAAAACCCAAAATGTGTCACAGACACATAGGGAAAATAATTTCAAGTGCACATCCTTTGCACAGTATTTAGGACAAAGCTAGTCATTGTTGGTTCTCAATTAATGAGAGTTAAAATGTTTGCCAAGAACTTAATACCCTTCTTATATTATAAATTATATTCAAATACTGAGTTTTTCAACTCTTTGTAAAAGTGTTAGTTCAACCTAAAGTATATGGTTGAAATCAACACATCAGTAGTGCAGAAGAGTGTTACAATCACTGACTTATGTTATTTTCAAAGGACATCTAACTGATGCAAAAGTAAAATAACCAAGTTTCTCAAAGTGGGAACAAATCACCTAAAAAAATGCCTCTGCCTAGTAATTAATCTTCGGAAGTCTAATTTGTTGTTAACCAGAACCAAATCACAGAGGAAGCTGTTTGTTGATTCATAGAACATAGTTTTGGAAGGAATTTATTAGGTGGTAAACTAATCCCAAGCAAGACTAAAAGGGATTCATTATATTAAAGAGAACTGTCAAAATTAAACATCAAAATCAAATTAGACTTAAGAACATCTAAACTTGAAAGCTACAGGTATTCTATATGGTTCAACTTATATTGAATTACTGAGGGTAACTTATTGGGAGAAATAGATAACATATTAGGCAACCCTTTATTTACAGTAATAATTATACAAAGACCCTGCCTTACTAATTCAGTCAAATAGCCCAAATAAGTCTACAGACAGGTGTGTCTTCTAGGAGAACACATGTAGCTGATAGAGAATTTGGCAATTTGCATTTGGAAATTTTCCCACACCTACCAATATGACCCTCTCTACCTGCACCTCCCCACGGTATTATCTCCATTTCTCCTCAGAGCCTCCTGATAGGCATCCCTATTTCTCCTAAGACAATACTTTAAAGACCAGTTCCATTATTCGCTCCAAAATAGGTTTGGAATCTACCATTGACTTCAATAAGCAACCTAACTGGTTATGTAAACATGCCCACCTTGACTCATGAATTGAGGCCCCATTAGTATACTAGTAATCTGTGAGGTGATTGATATGGAAGAAGGATTATAGATCTCCATACTGAATATTTAGTTAGATATTTTAATACAAAGAGTGAAATGCATCAAGGTTCAGATCATTTGTACTTTCCCCAAGATTCATTTTGATATCAAAGCAATTTAGTTTCTACAAGAGCAATAGACCAAGACAGGGAGGCAATTTCATTCAGGAGCTAACCAGTTGTGTGATTTGAGTCACTGGCTTGCTCTAGATCTGTTTCCTCATCTGTTGAATGGGGTTCTTCCTAATAATTATTTTGAGATAAAACATTTCATAGAATTCTGAATTTGGAGTTTTTTAGAATAAGGTTCTCAGGAGATTCTTGAGAATCTTAGCTTGAGATTCTTAGCTTGAGATTCTTAGCTAATGAAACCCACAGTTCAATGCCAGGGCCTGAGGGTGCAGTGTTGTTCTATCCCTCTGGTGCTGGGTATTACTTAGGGCATATGTGTCAGCTTTAGGATGAATGGAACTATAGAGTCATACCCAGTGGTTTTCTGTGTTTCTAGAGATACACTTGGTGATGCTCTCAGGACCATTTGCTGTTGGGAATCAAACCTGGGTTTGCCTCATGCAAGGCATGCACCTTATCCCCTGTACTCTCTCTCGTACCTCAATTTTAAAATATAGATATATGCACATATACATACTATATAAATGTGGCAGCGTCAAACCTTTATTCAGAAAATACTGCTATGTGCTTTCAATATGTCAAGGATTACATCTGTTGAGGTGGTATGAATTAAAAGATAGGTAAGCAGTTATCTACACCTTTGGAAATCTTGAATTCTCACTGAAGCTATAAGCAACTATGGAGAAATTGAGGAACAAAGGAGAGTTTGGGAGGCAGACAATGATAAAGAAAAATTAAACATAAAAAGTGACTTTGTACAAATTGAAATTCTAGGGGAAAAGTCTTATTTCTGCCTATATTTAATTTATTATAGGCTGGAGCAATAGCACAGCAGGTAAGGCATTTGCCTTGCACATGACTGACCCGGGTTCAATTCCTCCATCCCTCTCAGAGAGCCCGGCACGCTACCGAGAGTATCCCACCTGCATAGCAGAGCCTGGCAAACTCCCCTTGGTGTATTCGATATGCCAGAAACAGTAACAAGTCTCACAATGGAGAAGTTACTGGTGCCCGCTGGAGCAAATCGATGAACAATGAGAGGACAATGACAGTGACAGTGATTTAATTTATTATACTAATCTTTGATGTGATCAGTTGAAGATATTGGAATTATTCTGAAATAATGTATTCATAATGGTATTCTTAAAACTTCCCCGGGTGTTTATTAAACAACTATTTAGTCCAGGATGGGGCATGGAATTATGGCATGACCTTTGCTCTTTATCATCAAACCCTTAGGAGTCTAGAAAGTAGAAACCCTTCATGAATTTTGACTGAAGTAGCCCCAGATAGCAGCTGACATTTGGTACTAGTAGGTTCATCAGCTGTGATCAACTTGAACTTAGGTGTCATGGGAATGGTCTTGGTGTCAGGAAGCCTCAAATGGTGGATCAGAGATGATGTGTGAATTAAAGAAAATTTCTTAAATTTGGAGACGTATGTTTCTTCATCTAAAATCGGTTGGTTAAAAATTTTTTAGGATATCTTTTTCTTTTCCCAATCCTATAGTTCACCCTGACATCTCTAATATTCACACTCATAAATTTATTTTTATTCTTTGTTCTCTTCCATCTTTTACTTCAACTATATCTCTGTAACATTTGTCTTTATCATTTATTTAAAGTTATATGTTAACCTCTAGAATACACTCACTTACAAAAGAAAACAAAAGTAAACAGGCTGTGGCTTTGGGGAACTTTTTTTTCCCCCAAGAAGGACCTTTGCCCCATTTTTCTCTAAACAGATTTATATGCTACACCATGACTGTTCCATTCCTTGTAACAATAAACTGACCTGCCATATATTTCTTATGTCTATAGACATTAATTCTACAAGCATCATTTTCTTTATAACTTATCTTTTCACCCTTTTCTCT